TCTTGTACTTAATTAATAGTGATAAAGCTAAATTCAAGTATACTAAATTTGCTGTGTATTAAATTCAACTACAAGAGAATTATTAAATAGTCTTGTAATATATAATCAAGTAAATAAAATTCAATAAATTGTAATAGTCACAATATTTTTGTTTAATACCTAGATATGTATGACTATTCCAAAACAGAATGGCTCAGTGCCATATGTCAGAGCTACTGTGATCTGAGAAATTTCATCCTCCATGAAATATGGTTGACATTTCAATTCACCATAACCTATTTGCAAAGTATTCATTTGCTTCTGACTTTATGCATGTCCAATAAAAGATTTCCATTTTATGATCCATTCAAAAAGATGAAAAAATTAAATAAAATTGTGAAAGACATTTGCTGGAAGTAATAAATAATTTGACTCCAATTTGCACACACTGAAAATTAAACTGGTAACTACTCAAAAAGTTATTAAAATTATGGTGACTTAAGATATTTTGAAATCAAGTGCTACTATTTAATACTCTGCAGAGCTTTTAAAAAGTTAGCCTTATGAATAATAAAGATTTTAACTTGAAAAAGGAGGTCTCATATTTGTGAATAGTTTAAAGATTCCACTTCTAGTTAAGAATATATATGTAAATTAATGTTGTATCTAAGTATACTTTAAAGTGGTTAAAAGATTCTCAAATTAAATAATTTAATTTCAATTGCTCAACATATGCATATAATTTAAACAAAAATCACAGTCTTGATGACTAATAGATTTCTGAAGGAAAAAAAAAGCTTTATTCCAAGATGGGCTAAAAATCATACTTAAAGCTGTATTATAAATATTTTCAATATTACACTAAAATAATCCCTTTTAATTCTTTTGTGAATTATAATAAAATAACAAAAGATATTGGGAAATTACCACCTAACTTTTAATGATTTTCATCCAAAAATGTCAAAAATGTTTTAGTAACAATAAAAACTATAAGTAGTCTCTCTGTCTGGAGATGGCCTGCCTCTGCTTTAAATGTAATATATTCCTTGCTTGACCCAAAAGTGTCTCACTCTTGAGATGGCTGGTATTCTCTTTTTCTTTTTGTTTTCAGTGCAAGATTAAAGATAAGTAAAAAGCAAAGACAAAAATAATTTTAATAATATAAAATTTAGAAGCATATATGTGAGAGGATTTAAGTACTTCTATGAGGAATATTCCCTCTGTGATCATAGAGTTGTTTCTCTTTTAACACTTTTAGTTACCAAAACACTTGCTGAATAGTTCCCATTTTTACAGAGATCTTCCTTACACTGCACTGAAATGTGCTTCCCTTTACCTATTACTTTTTCTTCCTTCTTTCTTTGTAGCAATAAAGAATAAATCAAATCTTTCACATGACAGAACTTCAAATGTTTCAGGACAGCTCATGTGCCATAATCAGATCTTTTTCCAGTACTGTAAGCTGTATTTTATTTAACACTTCCATACTTGGCAATATCTTCTTGGCCACCCCTACATGTACTACAGTTAATTATTGTTCCTCTGTGTCAAGAACTGTACATAATCTTAGGATAGAGTTTCAATGCAGATTAGGTGAACTTATCACATTGATAGGTGTCATCAGAAAGCAATATACTCTAAGAAAGAAAAGATAAATGTTCCATCATGGGGGTAGGAGGTCTTCAACTTTAGCCTATTTCACCAAGATCCTAATGTGTATAGTCAAAATAAAGACATAACTAATGTCCTAGTGTATGCAATTTAAAAGAAATCAAGTCTCTTTCATACAAGAAATGGAAGAAAGAATAAAGTTGTGGTTGTATCACTTGCTGCTAACACAAAGGAATTAGGAACTGCAAAGATAAGTATACACATACATATATAGGTATATTTTTGAAAAAGAAGACACTATGTTAAACACAGATTTAGCAAATCAAGAAAGATAAATAAAATTCATCAATTTGATTTCAACCGAATAGACTAGGCTTCATATTAAAAAAAAAATAATGCAGAAGAAAATTAAAAGATTCTATTACTAAGTCAGGCTCTAACCCCAAGTCAGCCACACTGTTCATCTCAGTGATCCTTTGGTATCAGATGCTTGGAATTTTCCACATGCACTGATGTTCCACCACTTCTTACTTAAAACACTCTGTCGAGTGTCTTCCCACACTGCCTTTTAAGAGAACTAATACTATCACTTTCATCTGATTTAGATATTTATTTCATATTTGCCAGAAGATTCTGGCCAATGTTTTTGAAAGCACATTTAACTATACCATATGCCTCCTTAAATCATCTTTATCAAACAAGCTGTAGGATAAGACTCTGGTTCATTCTGTTCTGTTTTTCTTTCTTCACAATGTGTTTATGTATATTTACCCAATTTGTTCTGTTCTCTTTGCCAAATTACAGGTTTGAGATCTCAACGATTACAGAGCAGCTGTGCTATTGTTGATGTCTCACACACACACAAAAAGGGTCAGGGAATAAGCCTACATCACAAGTCCATGTGATACCTGCCTGTGCATTAAATTGGGGCTTCAGCGCTGAAATGGGGAAGAATCAAAGAAATTTAAAGAGATCATCCTATTCAAACCTAAAAAAAGGTGGTTTGGTAAAAGTGCACCACTGGCATAAATAAATTTCTAAATAATCCACAGATTCTTCTGGGTAAGACAATTTGTTTAATCACATGGCTTTTTGAAAGAATTAGAAATGTCTTATGAAAGAATTAGAAAAGAACAACCACTCTTCTACCACCTTTACCTTCTTTCTGTTTAAGTTCTAAGAATTTGTTCATCCTAGCCTAAACATCTCTATCAAATGAAGAAATGGAACAAGCATAGATCTCTCTCAAAGAAAGTTCTTCAAAGCCCTATTCCAGGTATGCTCAGCAATGATATTCCTGGATAGCAGAGTCCCAGATATCTTTCATTTTCGTTTACTATACAAAATCCATTTCTGAATGCAGGCCTTGGTATGTCTTTGCTACTGTGATACATTCTTAGTCCTCATCGCCAAGTGAACCACTTCATGTTAGCTTTCTTATAATCTCAAAATCCACAAGCACTAAGTTTTTAAAACAATAATCCTAAAATAGAAAAGCAATTCAGGATGTAGCATAAAGATAAGAAAGCAACTGATAGAGCAGGCTAATGAGATGAGGCACATGTCCACGAAGCTAGCTCTGAGACCATGCATCTGGCTTTGAGGCTGTCTGTCTAGGGTTACTTTACCAGTGTGCTGTTAATTATTTAAGTGACAGAACAGGGGGAACCATCACCACATCTGTCACCCTCACACAGGAAAAACCTTCACTCATTGTTGGGCCAGATGTGTTTATTTGAAACATAGACTAACTAGCTATTTAATGGGTTTGAATCCTTAGCCAAAAGCTAATTAGGCAAACATATTAAGTATCAGTCACCTTACAAGGCTAAACTGTTTCAGTTTGTGTTGATTTTAATCCAATCTCACAAGAGCCCATCACCTACAAAAATGTCTGAAGAAAATACAAGACAAAGGGAAAGATCTAAATTACTTGCAGTATACTAAACAGGACAAGAAATGATGTTCCCAAATACCCAATACATGAACAAATAAAACCTTCCAAGATTGCCCCAGTGGTACCCTGTGCTTGATACCCACCCTCCAAAAAGTGGAAAAGTAATTCTTTTAGATGGATTTCTGTCCCAAAACATTCTTAGGTGAAATATTATATCATAAGCTAAACAAATGTGGATTTCTCATATCTGATATTTAGTGTGCTGTATGTGATTTTTTAAAATTATATCTCCAGTGTATTTAGCCTCTTTACAAATCATTAAGGAATATCAGTAGACTCTTTTGGCACTCTATTCAAAAGGAGACTGTCCCCCAAGGCAAATTCTAGGGAAAAAAAAAATTCAGTGCCTGGGATAGAACAAGCATATTGCATTTTATAACTTCTTGGGAGAAGTAATTGAGCTGCCTTCCTTGAATATTCACTATTATTAAAATGAGAGTGTTCTGCTCTTTTAAATGGTATGTCCTACCTTCAAAACTAGAATTTTTATCATTTTTCTCCTACTTGATATAGGCTCTTTCCCCAGTAATCAAATGACCTCTTTTAGATATTTGTATTTATTATAAACCAAAATATTTGAGAAAAAAATCATTCATCTTTCATCCAACTAAAGCTTGCTGATTCTACTCTGTGTCAGGTATCAGGTAAGGTGCTAGGGTAAAACAAGATCACTCTCTGAACAATAATCTAGACTTTAGGTTGTGGCCTTGTATAATTATTCGCTGCTCTCAGTAAAAAATCAGTATAAATTAATCCTAGAAAACTGTATCCTAATCACTACCCTAAACAATTATATCCACTGCTATTAGACTAGAAGACATCTGAACTATTTGTACTCACAAACAGATAAACTAAGTCTCTACTTAATTTTTTTGTAAATAGATGACTCAAATAAAAACCCTTCTTGCAAACTAAATATTCCTTTAAAACAGCTATCATTTTGGTTCACTGCTACTTGAAGAGATATGCGTATAGATCTTACTAGAAATGAGACACAAACTAAAGCACAAATTAATAAAAAAGTACAAATATTGCCTAGTTCTGGATGCACCATAATAATTATGGTCCAATTGCTCTTTAACTGTAATATTTATTAAATTGTATAATAAGCACTCAAAATCTTACTTTAGACATCTGTAACAGTGGATGTGTGTTAAATTAAATATCCTAAAATTCAAAATAATTGTTGTGGCTCTGATTATCTACAAACTCTGACAATAATTTTCAAGCCCATTCAGAAAAATATTTATAGAACCTTTTAGTCAATATTAGAAACAAGATAAAACAAGCATTAGCATTTTCAAGTATTAAAAGTACAGCAGAAGTACTAAAGAGTAGATAGTTTAGGGTTACTGTTTAATGCTCATTAAAAAGATACAATAAACTACTAATGCATACTTGTCATTATTTTATACAATCAGTTGCTATTTTTTTTAATTAATGAAGTACTTACTCTCCAGCTTTATTCAGGATAGGTGCAGGACAAAGCATAGAATTAAGCTGCACACTTACTGGTTTTACACCTGAAAAATACAATGTCATTGAATTAATAGTTTTCTGCATCTCACATAGTTTCATTAACAAAATAAAGAGTATTTCAAAATTAAGAGTTTAGGTGTGAATATGAGGTATAGTAGCATTAAAAACTAATGAAAGAAGAAAAGAGATTAGAAATGGAAAAAGATTATATACCTCATTGATACAGAGTTTTGATAACTCATAAATAGACTTTTACTTAGACTAAAAAAATACAATTGTAACTCACATACAATTACAGATACTATAAAAAATTATCTTTCCTGCTTCATATATTAGATTTTTAAGAATGTGTTTTTTTGAAAGCAGAATTCAGAAAGATGGGGAAAGGAAAATAAATGTCTAGTGGAAAATGAACTTATTCCACAAGTTTAACAAAATAGCTACATTTAATATTTTACTAAGCAATGTGTTTAAACTGCCCTTGTAATTTTAATAATATGTGAGAAAATGATCTGCACTAGAAATATTCAGAGAAGTTACATATTCAAATGGATCTTCTAGAATGTGAATGATGAAAATAAAATTTCAACTCCACCTTGTCTGGTTGAGAATTTAATAAACTAAATCTTATGTAGCTAAGTGAACAATAAGTTTATAATGTAATCATCTCAAATATACAAACAGAACGTAAAGCTACCACTTATATACAAATGACTACAGAATTTATTGGATACTATTATGAAGAGTTTGTTATGAGCACTGTTGTGCCTTACCAGAATCATGATATTAATAGGAAAGAGAGGAATTAATTATGGCATGTACCATACTGAGATCCTCACCACTTTAATTCAACAAACACTACTGAACAATTACTGTGTGTGTGGCCAAAGCCGTACTAATTAGTGTTTAACACTATCAGCTAAACAGCAAAATTGTGGATGAGTCTTTCAAAAATAACTCTACCAGGGTTTAGAATTATAGAGTTACAGAGTCTGCCTCCCAACATAAATTTTTGGAAGACAATATAATCATCAATGAGGAAATACGTTTTCCTAGAGGCCAAAAACTGCTCAAAAAACTGAGATCCATTTAATATAGTAATCATTGACAAATGATGCTGGGTGAGCATTGGAGATAAAAATATCTATAAGGTGAAATGTCTATCTTTAAGAAATTGACAAATTTATGGAAAGTTAGATAAAGAAAAAAAGTGACAAAAAAAATTTTTAAAGGCATAGAGTAGTAGTCAAGTAACAAGATAATTACATTTTTAGGCAAGAGTGTCCAATGTCTAGGAAAAGAAGCAATTCAATCAGATGGTCTTGTGGTTAGTCCATAGAGACTAGTAATGAAAACTGGGTTCAGATATTAGCTCTGCTCATTATTGGTTATTTCACTATGGGTAAGTTATTTTAATCCTCATCTGAATAATGAGGCTACTTAGGACAGTGCCCAGCATTTACTGAATTATGAACATATTATCTATATTATTATAGAGATTTCATTTCTTTTCTCTCTGGTTAAAAACTATAGCATAGCTGATTTTAGTCTGAAGAAAAGAGGGAAACACTCAAAGTGCATGTGCTGTGCAGAAGTTAAAGTCACATTGTGATTTCTGAAGACCTACTCATGGTGTATGTCTCATTGACAGTGTAGGTACAGAGGACACTGCCATTCCGACTCCCCAACATGAAGCCTCTTCCATTCAGAACAATCTGAAATTCCTCTAGAAGTAAAAGGAAAAATGAACATTTTAATCATTGCTTTAAATTAAAGATTTTACTTTAAATAAATCAAGGTGCATAGATAAATTTCTTCATACCCTTCAGTTAACTTATAATAATGAAGACATAAAACCTTATCCTTCCAACTGCGCTTTCTTTCTTTGGCCCTCTAGGTAAATCTACAGAAGACACTGCTCACCACCACTTAGGAATGCATTATTTTATTTTTCTAAATAAAGTATTTTCAAATAGTGACCAAAGTATTAATATTAAATTATAACATTCATTCCCGAATACCAGACAAAATTTCCCCATCTGTATTCTTATAAAAATACAAGAAAGAAGCCTCCTTATTTTTCTCCACTTTTAGGTATTAAGGTTTGGATCTGTAGAGAAAACTAATTAATGTTCATGTTCATGTTCTATGGTTCTTAGAAAAGTCATGTGTACTATTTTCTTTAATCTGCCTCTCTCATACAGAGCTTTTCTTTAACAGCTTCTTTACCTCACTAATCCTGGTTTCATTTTCTATTGCTTACATATTTATAATTCCTCAGAAGTTATGTATTTTAGGTTACTAATAATCTAGGCCAGGGACTATGAGTTGATTTAACTTCTTGTACCCTTTCTCTATAGTGGGAGCAGGAAATAAATGTTACAGCGTGAAAGACTATACTAAAAGAAAAGCGCAAAGACCAAATATATTGGTAGGCAATAAATGTTTGCTGGTAGACTACAAGAAGGTGATTAACTATTTTAACAATAACTAACTCTAATTAAAAAGGCACGATAAAATGTTAAAGGGTTTATCTGAGCAAACTATAATAAACTGCAATTCCAAGTCAGAAGTGGTCTGGGAATTTCATTAAAAGACCAAAAGGGGAAGTTTATATAGGCTGGACACAGAGCAAAGAAAACGTCTGGTTGGTTGCAGTTATACAGTGCCTTATTTGGTCTATCCCAGTGGAAAGTCCCTACTTATATAATTATAAATTTGTTGGTTGCTTTTGACTGGTTGAGCCTAGCTTCTGTTTTTCATTAGTACATGCACTTACAAGAAAGAGCTCAAGTTAAGTCTTGCTTAAATTTGCAAATCAAGTTAAGTTTACTTGGGAGTCCTGTCTGTTTTAGGGATTCTTCAGGCTTCATCTCCATTTTAATTCACTTTACACTCTCAATCTTCCCAAATTTTTCTATCATAATCCAATGCACATATAGTTATTAAATATGGAAGCAAAATCTGCCAGATCATTCTTCATTCAGTGTGTTATGAAGAAATTTTACTGATAAGTTACAATGAGAAACAGGTATCTGGGCATACTGGCAAGTGTATATAATCCCAGCTACTTGGGAGCCTGAGGCAGGAGAATTGCAAAGTTGAGGCCAGCCTAGGCAACATAGTGAGCCCCTGTCTCAAAAAATTAATAAATAGATAAAGTACAGGTAAAACTTAAAATGTGACTCAGTAATAGTCTGGGCATTGTCAAATAAGGATTTAGTATAATGTTTACTAATGGTAAATACTGGACCTGTCTCTGCTCAGTTTCTCCATTTGCAAATCATGGATTACAAAACTGTTAAAATTATACTTAAGGGAATTAGGCAAAATTGTACATCCAAAGAACATTGAACCCAGCAAAAAGTAGGAGAGCAATAAAGAACAGTTATCATTTCAATATTACTTTTTCATTAAATTTTCTATGTTATCTCTAGGAATTTATTAATCTATACCCTTAGAAAAGATATACCTGCTTTGGGGAATTTGGATGCACTATTCATATCAAACATCTCAATGATCATTCATTAGGAATTCTAGAGATGCAGAGTTTAATTATGACCATGCCCAGTGAACTGGGAGGTTCTGTGGTAAATTACTTGATATATTTCTCAATCCCAGCACCAGCCTCAATATATTTCCTCTTCTAGAATCAGACCTTCTCCAGGCCAAAAAGACTGGGAGATGTGAAACCTGAGTGTGCTCAGAGTACCAGTTGATGAAACCACCTGCTTCCTTCCTTCCCCTCACAAGTCACTTCCTTATGTGCCTTGAGATGGCAGACACTGTACTTTGGCCAGGTCATCAAAGCAGAGAGCTCAAAGTCTACAGAGAGTGTTTGTATAATTAGATAAAAGAAAAGATTTCATATTTTATTTTATTTGCCATAGAAAAGGTCTCAACGTGAACTAAATATACAGAAGATTCTAAAAGCCTGTCACACAATATGCTCATTATTTAAAATAACACTCCAATCTTAAAAATTTGAATTTAAAATAGAAATATTTCAAGGAATTATTTAAAAATTCTTACACACAAAAGATGCCAAAAAAGTTAATTTTGCCATTCTCTTCCAACAAGAGTTTCAAATCATATATTTTAGCTAGAAAAAAAAATACAATTTCTTAACACGGTATTTTTAAATTCCAAACACTTACCCCCCACACAGACACTTGAGGGCCTCAATTCCAGGATTTCAGTACATGACTGAGCTAGTATCTAAAGAAGAAGAAAAGAAAACCAAACTGTAGAACTAAATAATAACATGCAGAGTGAATTATAAGATTACTAAGGATTTTGAGGTCCTCTCCTTAATTCAATAGGTAAAAATCAATTAACTATTACATTCACAGCCACCAAAGCCCCTGGGAAACTTCTGCATTGTCTCTCCAGGTATATTCTATAATCATGTATTGCAAGATCCTTATTTGATTAAAATAAAACTAGACGAGCACAAGTAAAGTAGGTGCTGCCTTTGATTTCCTTTTACCATAAAATCAATACTGATTCCCCATCAGGCAAAAACAAGATGGCAAATCAATCACATCTCCTGCTTAATAATGTTGACATGTTTTCTATTTATAAGTTCAATGTAACATCAATAAATAAGCACTGCTTTATTTGACAGTAGCATTTCCAGTCCATTCCTCTAGCTCAATTCCGATGGGTGCTAATTCTCCTCATGTGCATCAAACATTACACTTGCAGAACACAGACTCCTTGTATGAGCCAGACATTGTTCTCAAAAACACAGGCTCTGTAAGGCTCTGTATTAAAGCATTCCCAAACCACTGGAATAGAATGGCTCTCTCAGCTTGTAGAAATAGAAACTACCATACAAGGCACAAGGCTACAACTGAAAAACAACGATGAAATAAGCTGCTCCTAATGGTCACCACAATCCTGCCTTTATTTTTAGAACTGCTCTGCACTTCATTATCAAAGTCAGATGAATTCCAGATGATCTTTGAGTGGCATTCCTTTCACGATGCAAGTTGAAGGCAGATGATGTGCAGTGGGTTTTAGCATTGCATGCTCATAACTAGAACAGGAAGGAAGGACTGCAGCAGGAAATGAAAATGCTTTCCGTGCTTTCATTAATAAGCAAAGAAATACAGATTTTCAGCACCTAAAATCAACTGTTGAAGAATGGAATTCTCATTGCTGAAGAAGCTTCTCTGAGAAAGGAGCAATGTTTGTACATGTAATGATTATTTTCCAGTGAACAGAACTACTCACTTTGTGATCCAGGCCTTAGTGATAAGGAAACACACCTCCTAAGTAAGTGTGTATATGTGAGAAATACATCCAACACGCTTGTGGATTCAAGATTTGAGGACTACTAAAGGTTAATGTGTTGTATAAAATTTCAATGCATTATTTGTACAATTCAATAATCAGAATATTCTCAATAGTTCAGTGAGCATTATAAATACTAACTTCGTGGAATTTTTTCATTTGGCAAGAGAGAAGGGGTAGAATAAAATAATAAAATAGAAAACATGTCAACATTATTAAGCAGGAGATGTGATTTGCCATCTTGTTTTTGCCTGATGGGGGGTCAGTATTGATTTTATGGTATCAGAAAATTAATAGGCAGCACCTACTTTACTCGTGCTCATCTGGTTTTATTTTAATCAAATAACGATCCTACATACACAATTATAGAATATAATACATATTATGTTTATGCCTCCCTTATGGGTTAGTTTTTGGTTAGCAGCAAGGCCGGATGCAGCATTAGGAGCTAGATATGATGGCTCTGCCTACTGGCCTGTGAGATTACACGTTTGGCAGGAGATCAAAGGAGAGCCCACTGCTGTCCCTTCTCCGAAGCCCAACTCAAATGAAGTATCAGAATGGTGTTTCACTCTGCATAATCCAAGCATGTTCCAAATTAATTTGGATTGACTGGACCACTATTATAATGTGGTCAGGTTTCAGGGGTTCACCATAGGCCAAACTTCTATATTGGACAAGTGGCAGACATGCCCTCTGAAACAAGAACTGGCAAGTCTGTGGGGGATTGGAGAACCGTGCCTAAGTCACAGGCCCAGTTCTGAGAATTCCACTAATCACAAAGAATTTTCTTATCTTACTTCTCTATTGGATCACAATCAGGTCTTTATGATTACTGATTAATAACCAGAGAAAGTGATGTTACTGTCAAAGAACTATCCATAGCATAAAAAAAAAAAAAAATCTGACAACATGAGATGGTCTGAGTTTTGTGAGAACCTTGACTGATTTCTTCTTTCTTAAAGATTTTAAAATATATAAAGAGCCATATTTGATAGAAATTTTCTATGTTCCTGAACAAGTTTACATAATGAACACATTCTGTAATAACAAATATGGGCATACAAGAAGCAAAAGCCATACTATTATGACATAAAAGTGTACACAATTGATATACTATAGCTCTTTTGATCTGGCATTTAGGATAACATGGGTTTTCACTACAAACACTTATAGTTGGGCTATATCTGAGACAAAAAAGTTAACAAAAAATAAATAAAGATATGGTAATGGAATCAAGATATTATTAAGGACCTATGGTATCCTTGAAGTTTATGCTCAACTTGGAAGAAATATGTAGAAGCCAGACCTCAAGATCTGAAGATCAAGTATCCAGTTTAGAAAAACAAAACAAAGAAACAAACAAACAAACAAAAAACTATCTACAACCAACATAAGCCAAGACAGATTTAAAACTTTCTATTTTTTCCTGGTTTTTAAATGGCAATGGGAAGGACCCTGTATGAAAACTTATTCCAGAAAAAAATAAATAAATACTTTCTTAATGAATAGTATTAGCACATATTTAAAAATCAGTCTGATATAAAATGTATAGAAAATATATGTTATAAATACCAACTGCTCAGTTAACATTTATTGAATTCTATTGAAAAGTAAGTGTGGAACTAGGAATAAAGTTCACAGGTGAAGTGTTTGCCTTGCATGCTCAATTAAGGTCCTTTTTTCCATCTAGTACCAGGAAGGAAGAAGAGAGAGAAAGATGTAAAGCTGTCTTAATAAAAAGTGTGAGCACTTTGACTATAAAAAAAACAGACTAACACTAAACAGTCAAGCATGTAAAAAACAAAAACAAAAACAAAAATGCAGAGCTTAATGAAGGGCTCCTTGAATTAATTGAACCACTTTTTCAATTACACACAATGAAAAGAAAACTGATTCTAATGATTTCAAATTTTGTTAATCCATAGTACCCATAAGGCATTGAACCGGATGCAAAAGCAGTAAACAAAACAGAAAAAGAAATAAGATAAACAACATGAAAAAAGCATAAATCAAAGTTCTTTATTGTGTAAAAAAAAAGAAAAAAGAAAAAGGGGGGCTTGTCTTAGGATAAATAAGAAGGGAGAAAGGTGGATCTACCTCCACCTTTGAGTGAATGGGCTCCAGGACCCAGAGTGAGAATCAACCTGAGAGCACAGCTGAACAGAGACAGCCCCCAGCATCTTTTTGACATGACCATGAACCACATTACTGTTTACCTTGTGTTAAAAACAAATCTGTCTTTAACCAACACACTGCTTGGGAGAGCACATTCACTCATCTGACTTCATAGTGACCCCAAAAATCTTTATTTCTGACACAGAAATCTCTCTTCTGAGCTGTCCATTCTCTATCCAACAACTCCTTTCAATAGTGAGCTGGATGTCACTCACTCAGAATTATTTATTGCACGTTTATGTGTCCAGCATCCGGTTTGGTGCTATGGCTGCAGTAGCAAAGGGCATAGGTACTGTGTTTTCCATGCCTGCTTTCCATCTTGAGAATCAAACCCAGAGCTTTGTACATTCTAGGCAAGCACTTTACACTGAATTACATCTCTAGCATTCACAGTGTCTTTCGGGTACTCACAGTATATCGGGAAGAAAAACTGTAATCAAATAAACATCTTCATCATACTCATAAGGTGAAATCTCAAACCAAAAGAAAGACTTTGAAGTGATAATATACTTCAATAAGAAAAGAGGGAGCCGGGAATGTAGCTCGGAGCTAGAGTACATGCCAAGCATCTGCAAGGCCCTGGGTTTAGTCCCCAGCTCTGCAAACAAACAAACCTGACTGAATTCGCTGGACTCTAAAGCCTAAGTAGAGTGAACTGGGAGGATATGAGAGGAGCATTCCGGTGACAGCAAAAGGTGCAAACAAGCTGAAGTACCAAGGGAAGAAAGTGGAAGTTGAGGAGCACAGGGCTTGCTAAGAGATGAAGCTAGAGAGATGCCCAGGAGCCAAGCCATGCCTTGTAAACCAGGCAAGCCTTTCAGTGTCTAGGAGCACTACTGCTTGACTGCTTGACTGCTTGATGCTATGGAAGGTAGGGGTAGAACTGTGCTTTAGCTCAGAGGTAGAGCACTTGCCTAGCATGTGCAAAGCCCTGATTCAATCCCCAGAACCACAGACAAAAAATAAAAACTTTTTTAAAAAAGTGGGGGATAATGGTATTATATTCCATTGAATGGTTTCCTCTGTTATTTTTTAACACCAATTATAAATAATAAGGATTTTCCCCAAAACAGGTTATTTCTTTACATATAAACACACATATATTACCCGAGCTTCTTCAAAATTTTTACAACTCTATGAAAATTCTAAATAGTCACCTAATACTAACTTTGGGTATACAACACTATCAACAAAGGATCATTACAGAAATATACCAACATTCTAGGTATGTCCTTAACAGATAGAAACTGCTTATTTTTATGACATATAATGTACCAGAAAATATCAGCAAGGATAATAATGAAGTCTAAAAAAGCAAGCATTTCATTCTTCTGACTCATTTAGTAGCTTTAAGCACTATAAGAGTGCATCCCAAGTCTAAAAGATTCCAAGTTTATCTCATAAGGAAAAATCACTGAGCAGCACTGGTTTTAAAGGTCCCAATGAAATTAAACTTTAGTAATTGTCCATCCGTGTCCATAAAATAAGTAGCTATTACATTTGGAAAAGATGTTTCTCGTATTTTTTTCTTATCTTTTGTTTAGCTCTTGATATTCAGACATGTGATTTATATTTTCTCTATGGCTGCCAAACTTCCCATCCAAATATATTTTTCTCTAAGAGGTAATACTTCAACTAAAAACAACTGTTAGCTACAAGCATGTGTTTTGGTTGAGTTCATCCTTTAAAAATGCCTGAAGCTTCAAAATATGGGTTGCTCAACACAATATGCATCACTCAGG